ATGGATCAGGGTTCCTCCGCCTCTGCCCTGTGCCGCCGGCCATCTCTCTCAGCTGGTCCACGCCATCCGCCTGCTGCTGGAATACACAGATTCAAGCTATGAAGAAAAGAAGTACAGCATGGGGGATGGTAAGGGCATCCCCTTGTCCGGATCTCTGGCCTCTCCTGCTGAGTTGGTTCCAGGCAACCCCTGCATGGCCACCTGTTGCTACCTCTGCAGGCCTCCACCTGCCGGGAGTGCCGCCAGTTCCATCCCTAAAACCCTTGGAAGATGCAGGCTGACCTTCCAAGGCAGATCACTGACAGGGGATTACTGAGCCCCCCATATGGATAATTGGGAGGGGTTCCCCCTTAAAACCTGCCTAAGCCTTTGCATATCTTAGTCATGTGGGGTCCAGAGCCCTTCCAGGGATTCTTCCCCCCAACCTTGGAATATGAGGCGGGGGTAGGGGAGGTGGGGGTGGATTCTAGATCCGTCTGACCTAGGGGTCTTGCCACTGAGTCTTTGGAGGGACCCAGGAAGGAGGGTGGGACTCTGGGTGGTTTGTTTTCACCTCCTCTTCTCCACCACAGCTCCTGACTATGACAGAAGCCAGTGGCTGAATGAAAAATTCAAGCTGGGCCTGGACTTTCCCAATGTAGGTGCAGGGGAGGGGGCGGTTTTGGGGAAAGCCAAGGAGTCTCTGACTGCATGTCCTGTCCCCAGCCTAGAGGTTGAGGGTCAGGTGCCTTCTGCCTTCTGCTCTCATGCCTGGTTCTCTACACTGCCTTTCCATGACATTCCATGTCCCATTTATCTACTACTTTTATCTACTACTGTTGAGTATTCTTACTGAGGGCCTAGCACGGGCAGGTACAGTGAGTGCCAGGTGTCACCTGTGCCCCAGCCTAAGGCCTGGCGGCCCGACTGACCTTACTGCTTGCCCATCAGCTGCCCTACTTAATCGACGGGGCTCACAAGATCACCCAGAGCAACGCCATCCTGCGCTACATTGCCCGCAAGCACAACATGTGTGAGTGGGGCTGACTGTGGGTGGGTGAGGGGACAGTGGCTTTCCCCTGGGCTTGGCTGGAAGGGGAGGCTGAGCGCAAGTCTCTGTTGTGTGTGTGGCAGGTGGGGAGACAGAAGAGGAGAAGATTCGTGTGGACATGTTGGAGAACCAGGCTATGGACACCCGCATGCAGCTGGCCATGGTCTGCTACAGTCCAGATTTTGTGAGTACACCTTCCCCCACCCCGCCATGGGCTGGGCCTGCAGGGTTTGAATTCGGCACCAGGACCCTTGCACTCCTGTCTATACCGGTCTTTTCTCCTTCTGACCTCCCCAGTGCTCCTCATCCTTGGAGTGGTTTCCTGTGCAGCCACCAGTTATTTTCATAACTCCAATGTCTTGTCAATTAAGACTCTGAATCAATTCTCACCAATCTTAGGTACCCCAGGGTGGAAACTCAATTCCTAGATGGTGAAGCTTGTGTTCAGAATCCCCTCCATTCTTGGCCTCTGACCTCTGACACGGTTCATGTCTCCTGGCTGGTTCACACCCCCTGCTCGCTCCTGGAATACACAATTCAAACTATGAGCAAAACACATAAAAGATGGGGCAACGGAACAGCACCCACATATTTGGAATTCTGCCGTACCCCGTTCCTCATGCTTCCCATGGACACCCAGAGGGATCAGGACATTTTAAAGATAAGCAGCTCAGGGTCAGCCAAAGGGCCTTGTTCCTCTTCCTCCTTCCATTCAGCTTCTCAAAATCTCCTTATCTTTCCAGAAACTACTCAAATGTCCATTCCAGTTCTCTGCCACCCACCAGATGGGCCTTGTGACCTGAGCTCTTTTAGTTCTTTGAAACTATGATTCTGCCTAATGTTGACTCCAGAGACTGCCAGGTTCTCAGGCGCTCCTGTGTCTGCCCATAGGAGGGGTGTGTGGAGATCAGCGGTGACAGATTCAGGGACAGCTTCATAATGAACTTAGATAGGGCCTAGTACCCAGTAGGAGTCTAATAAATGCTGATGTATGAAGTAGAAGCCTGGGCACTGACCCAGACCCAGTTGCAGGGAAGATGGCTGCTGTTCCATGGCCAGCTGGGACCCTGCACAGCCCTGGAAGGCCTGCCTCGGTGCAGGGAGCTTGGCTGAGATAGTGACAGCTGTTTTCCACTTTAGGAGAAACTAAAGCCAGAGTACTTGGAGGGACTCCCTGAAAAGATCAAGCTCTACTCACAGTTCCTGGGGAAGCGACCTTGGTTTGCAGGGGACAAGGTAAAGGGGAAGTGCCATGGGGACTGTGAGCTGTCATCCTTCCTGTGTTACGGACGATCCAGCCAACTTATCCTTGGCTTTGCAGATCACCTTTGTGGATTTCCTTGTATATGATGTCCTTGACCAGAACCGTATATTTGAGCCGAAGTGCCTGGACGCGTTTCCAAACCTGAAGGACTTCATGTCCCGCTTTGAGGTGATGCCGCTTATCCTCCTTATTCTTGGCTGTTCCTTTTCCCTTCTCTGTGGTGCATTCCCAGTTGGAGCTAAAATGAAGAATGACAGGCATTTATTGAACACTGTCTTTATGCTCAGCATATTACATGTAGCGTGTCCAATTTAATTCTTACAACATTCCTACAGAATTAGAATTCTCCTTCCCATTTTACCGAAAAGGAAGCTGAGAATGCATGAGAAGGTCATTTGCTGCAGTCCCAGAGCCGGCGAGGCTGTGCTGGCCTCCCTGTCAGCCTCTGGATCTATGGGCAGCAGTCAGGGCTCTCCCTATTTGATGCCAAAAGGAAAGGCCTCAGGTCTTGTCAAGCCTGGGTTTCACCCAGGATACTATGAAAGTCATAGAACATTTCAGGTGTGTGTACGCAGCTGGCATTATCGATTGACACAAGGTAGGACTGATGCTGAGCTCCAAATACACAGGCTGACCCATAAGAGGGTTGTTTGGAGATCAGACAGACAGTATTCTTGGCTGATCCCCAGAGTGTTCTTTACCATTCGGACTCTCATCGGGGGAATTCTGAGACCCAGGGCTGTGGTTGGAGCTGGGTACATGTGTGGTTGCCCTGCTGAAGGACTTTGACTGGGAGTGTTCTAGGTGGGGCACGTTCCTTCCCCTCTTTCCCTCCAATATTGCAACGGCGTGAGATGGGGTCGATCGCTGACTTTAGCTCACGTATGCTGATCTTCTCCTCTGTTGAGGCCCATGTCAGGCAGAGTGGGAGATGCAAGGATGACCTCTGTCCTGGGGTGAGTGCAGTTAGGGAACTGTAGGCACCAGACTGCGGGAAGTGTGTGGTACTAGCTGGGGACAGGGAGCCCAGCTGAGACCCCACCTCTCGACTAATCACCTGACACGTGCAGTCAACGTGTTTGATAGTAGCAATAGCTCTTTCAGTCCAGATGTGGGGGTTTGAAGCGTGAGTCCTACAGGTGTCTGAGCCTAGAATCTGTTCTCCTTTCCCACTCCCTGCAAGGGATCTGCTTTCTCAGCTAGTTCTCATCAATTCTGGTTCTGGTCCAGGCTGAATGGCCTTGGGGTTATGTAAGAGGTGGGGGAGGGGAAGGGTGAGCTGAGGACTGCAGCCTGTGGCCTGCCTGGGCCTGGCTCTTTGGGCACAGGCAGCCTGGATCTCTTTGGAACTCTAGACGTTTTCTGAGCACTTTGTCCTGGTAAGATCATGCACAACACACCTGGGTGTCATATCACCTGGTCCCCTGCTAGCAGGACTGAAGATGAGGTAGGTTGGGGCCCAGTGATACAGGACTCGAGTACCAGGTAGAGAACTTTAGACTGTATGGTTTAAGGGTTAATGATTAAAGCATGCCCATCCCTTCTTTTACGGGTTCACCACCCCCTACACTTTCATCCAAATTTTGCTTTCATTCATTGGGTGAGACCTGATGTCCTGTTCTGAGCCCCTGAGTCCTGCTAGAGGTCCCTCCTCTGTGTACAAATCCAGGCAAACCAGAAAGCCTCCCTGTGACAAAGGAGAATGTTTGTGCGGACAGGGAGTGAAAGGGCCTTCTGAGGGGTGTGGAGATAGGAGGGAAATTTGGCAGAAAAAACCACAACTGGAGTGAGACAGAACGAGGCTGCATTCCAGCCCTGACCCACTTACTAGCTCTGTGAAATTGTGTGCACCTCAGTTTTTGTTGGGAGGAATGGCGATTATAGAACCAATTTTGCGGGAGTAGTTGAGTGGGTTTCCTAAACCTGTAGAATAATTGCTCTTGCATCCAGAACACCAAACGTATGTGGAGTCTCCATCAGTGACGCCTCTCATTCAGGTATGACGTTAGTTCAGGGTCATTGGGTGAGTTTAGCCAGCAGAGATGGGAACCCCAAGAGACTGTGTTGCTCCAACCCTTGGGCCCACATGGAAAGGCTGCCATTGGGGTCCTGCAATAACGCCACTTAACCTCCATCGGCAGCAGACCCTGAGCTCTGGCTTCCTTTCTTCCTTCTCAGGGCTTAAAGAAGATCTCTGCCTACATGAAGTCCAGCCGCTTCCTCCGAGGCCCTCTGTTTGCTAAGATGGCCAAATGGAACAATAAGTAACGCCCTGTGATGTCAGGAGATGGGTGGGAGAACTCGGCCCAGCTTGTTCCTCGAGACCCTGAAGCCCAGCCTGACTCCCTGTACCTCGGCTCCAGTCTTCTGGTTCCCCTGTCTTCTCAACTCCCTTCTCTTTCCCAGGCTTTAATGAGTCCCTTCCTTCTACCCTGATCCCTTCCCGATTCCTTAAAGCTTCAGCTCCCACTCTCCCCCTCCTAACGTTGCCCTTTCCTGGTCTCCTGCCAACCTGACCATCTTTCCTGTCCATTGTTGCCTCTCCTTTGAGGAGCCAGACTGGTCTCTGAGCTCCGCAACCCTGCCCTGGAAGACCAGCACTGCCGGCTTGGTCCCTACCCCATCCCTGTCTGGTGTCCAGTAAACCCTAAACCACACCTGCTGTGTCTTGGCTTACTCCCTTGGACTTCTTGGGTCAGGACTGATAGTGCTGGGCTTGTTGATGGTCTTCTTCTGTCTTCTGTTGTCTACAGCAAGGGCTGGCTGGGTGGGATGTGTGTGTGTGGGGGTGCATGGTCAGGCAGGTTCCTAACGTTTTTGGTCATTTCTGTTCCCTGTCCACATCCCTCTGTTCCTCACCATGGGGCTGTCTGCAGAAGGATGTTCTTTCTCTGCCTGACCTGAGTTCCTCATTCATTTGGCATCATGGAATGCCTTCTAGATGTCCTGGAGAACCATGTGTCATGGTTCACAGCGGTGCTGGGCCTATGAGGAAACAGGCTAGCAGTTCACAGGAGGGTTGCATTCTATTACCCTGTCCTGGTATCTTTCTAGCTTTCCCTGATCTCAATCTCCATAAAACACATCCCACTGTATTGTAATTATTGCACTTGTTTCTCACACCAACTCAAACTATAAATTCACTGAGGAGAGACTCCATATCTTACTGGATTTTTAAATCTCTGATATCTATCACAGCTCCTGACATACAGTAAATGTTTTTACACATTTGAAAATTTGAAAGAATTCTCTCTAGGGAAGACTCTGCCAACGTCTACAGCCATTATTGGAATTTAGAGCTCGATATACTTGTAATTATCATAACCAGAGACGATATAGAATAATGTTCTGAAGATTTTACGTATACATCTTAGAGAATGAGCCAGTAGCTCTCCGTGGTGTAAGCATTTAAGAGGTTCTAGTCATCCTTTGAATAACTTGACCTGAGATGGGGAAGCCTAGTTTGCAGGGCCACAGTGTAGCAATCTGTGTGGACAGCAGTTGTTGTGGACGTTTTATATCAAGTCACCCTCAAAGGAGCAGGACTCATTGAAAAATCACCTGAGGATCAATTTTCTCAAACAGTGGCTGGAGAGTTAGTTGGGACTTGGGAAAGCACAGCTTTGAGACTTAGCTCAAAACAGGGAGAAAATTCTGAGGAGAGCCTTGTTGGGCCTTTGTGTGGAAGGTGCCTGCATCTGTACTTCCTGCAGTTAAATAAAACGGGAGCAGTATGTGTAATGCTAAAAGTTACTGAGAGTAAATAACTATCTGGTGAAGGGTTGTGTTGTGATAGGAAAAAAAAAGAAGTAAACGACTAATTTGAAAATATAAAACCGATAAGGTAAAAGTTCAGCGAAGCTAAAAGTTGGTGAAACTAAGATAAAAATTTAGTTAAGCCAAACATTTATTAACCTTTAACTTTAAGACAAAAGGGATAAAATGAAAAGGAAAATATAATAGAAATTAGGAGTTATGATAAAAGAGAAGTAGAGAGAATTAAACCAGAGCAAAGTAGACATGGATCAAGAACAGAGGTCAGCAAACCCTTTCTGTAACGGCTGGAGAGGAAACGTTTTAGGCTTTCCGGGTTAGGTAGGTTCTATCATAAGTACTCGACTCCATTGTTGTAGTGAAAAAGCAACCACAAACAATACGGGAATAAATTGAGGGTTGTATCCCAATAGAACTTTATTTACAAATACAGGAGACTGTTGCAACAACAAAAAACAAACAACCCAGTTAAAAAAAATGGGCAAAGAACTCGAAGAGACACTTCTTCAGAGAAGAGATACATATGTCCAATACACACATGAAAAAATGCTCACCATCACTAATCATTAGAGAAATGCAAATCAAAACTAATGAGATGCCACCTGACATCTATCAAGATGGTACCAAAAAGCACAAAATAGCCAAGTACGGTGGCTCATGCCTGTAATCCCAGCATTTTGGGAGGCTGAAGTGGGAGAACTGCTTGAGGCAGCAGTTCAAGACTAGCCTGGGCACCATAGTGAGACCTCATCTCTACAAAAAAATTTTAAAAATTAGCCAGGTGTGGTGTTATGTGCCTGTAGTCTCAGTTACTTGGGAGGCTGAGGTGGAAGGATCGCGTGAGCCCAGGAGGTCTAGGCTGCAATGAATCGTGATTGTGCCACTGCCTTTTGCCCTAGGTGACAGTGACATTGTGATTCAAAACTCCCACAAAAAACAAAAACAAACAAACAAAAACAAGTGTTGGTAGGGATGTGGGGAAATTGGAACCATTGTGCGCTGTTGGTAGGAATGAAAATGTTGCAGCCACTATGGAAAACACTATGGCAATGCCTCAAAAATTTAAAAATAAAATTACCATATGATACAGCAAGTCAATTCCAAAAAAGTTGAAAACAAGCTCTTAAAGACGTATTTGTACATCCATGTTTATAGCAGCACATTTCATGATAGCTAAAATGGAGGCAACCCAGGTGTTCATCAACAGAAGAAGGGATACATAAAATGTGGTATATATACATCAAAAGGAATATTCAATCCTCACCAAGGAAGGAAATTCTGACATACGCCACAACATAGTTGAACATTAAGGACATTTTGCAAAGTGAAATAAGCCAGTCCCAAAAAGACAAAAACTTTATGATTCCACTTATATGAGGTGCCAAAACCATGTAGAAAGAAAGTAGAATGGTGGTTGTTGGGGCAGGGGGAATAGGAAATTATTGTTTAAGGGATATACAGTTCCAGTATTACAAGATGAAAAGAGTTATGGAGATGGGTGGTAGTGATGGCTGCACAACATTATGAATATATTTCATATATATATATATATATATATATATATATATATACACACACATATATATGTTTCATATATATTGTTGAAATTGTGAAGATGGCCAGTTTTATGTTATGTGTATCTTACCACAATAAAAGTATAAAAGCCAAAAGAACAAAAGCAGCCAGTGGCTGTAATTTCCTGATTCCTCATCTAGAAGCTCAAAAGGGCACAGCCAGGCGCAGTGGCTCACGCCTGTAATCCCAGCACTTTGCGAGGTGGAGGCAAGGGGATTGTCTGAGTTCAGGGGTTCAAGACCAGTCTGGGCAATTTGGTGAGATATCGTTTCTACAATAAATCAAAAAATTAGCTGGACGTTGTGGCGCATGCTGGTGATTCCAGCTTCTTGGGAGGCTAAGGCGGAAGGATCACTTGAGTCCAGGAGGTTGAGGCTGCAATAAGCTGTGATCGAGGTACTGCGCTCCAGTCTGACAGAGAGTGAGACTCCAACTCAAAAAAAAGAACAAGAAAGTCTAGGGTAGAAGTAGTATAACCTATGCATTTCAAATCGAGGCAACAAAGAAAGATGATTTGCTGGAGCAAGCAAATCTCAGAAGTCCTGGGACCTGAGATTGGGTCTTCATACCAGCCCTCATTAGCTGATCAGTGTATCTTCTCCCCTGCTAGAATGGGAGAATGAGACGCTCTGAGAACACAGCTGCCTGTACTTGTGTCTCCTGCATTGATCTGTAATGACATGTTTTGTTTTGTTTTTTAATCGAGGTGTCACTCTGCTGCCCATACTGGAGTGCAGTGGCCCAATTAAAGTTCACTGAAGCCTCAACCTCCCGGGCTCAAGCAATCCTCCCCCCTCGGTCTCCTGAATAGCTGGTACTACAAGCATGTGCCATTACACATGGCTAATTTTTTTATTTTGTAGAGACTGGGTATCACTATGTTGCCCAGGCTGGTCTCAAACTCCTGAGCTCAAGCAATCTTCCTGCCTTGGCTTCCCGAAGTGCTGGGATTACAAGTATGAGCCACCATGCCTGGCTGTCATCTGTTGTTAATGACAACTTCCATGCCTGATCTCCTCCCATTACCAATGTATTAGTAACAGCAAAACAGCAGCTTATAGAAAATAATTTTCTTTTTTCATGTGACAGTTCCAAGGGGCAGAGGACATGATGTTGGGGCAGCCCTGCTCCAGGAAGTGATTCAGGGACTCAGGCTCCTTCCACCTTGTAGCTCTGACATTGCCCAGCGTGCTTCCTTGTCTTTTTGGTTGAAGCTGAATCACGAGTCTAGGAAGGAAAAGAGAAAAAACCCAAGCCAAGGAAGCAACCTCCCATTATGCCAGTAAGGCAGAAGTTGCTCACACCACAATCACTCACATCCAGGGGTGAGATTCAGTTGTGTGGCTACACCTGGTCACAAGGGTACACGTACATTTCGATGGAACAGTGGATGTTGGTAGCTAACTACAGTCTCTCTGACATCCAAAAACCTTGGGTTTAAGCCGGGGGTTTAAAGCAGACAGAATCTAGGCTAAGGTACTAAAGACAAGATCTTTATATTTGGCTAGACCTGAGGGGGGCATATTACTAAGGGTTCCTTGTTGCTAAAGCATTTTCTAGAAGTATCAGGTGGCTCACTGCATCCCTGGGAGGGCCGGGAGTTGGCTTTGGAAGCTGGGAGCCAGGAACTGTGCCTAACCACACGTGGGATTGTTCTAGAGAAAGCTCCACAGCCATTGTTGGGTACAGTCACCGAACCCTTACCTGGGACATGTACCTTACTGCTGTCTCCGGAATCCTAATGCTTCCACCACTGCTCTTCTAGTAAGTAAACAAAGAAGCCGGGCCTGTGCCCCAGCCACAGAGGAGGCAGGAAGACCAAGTGAATTCATTAACATTAAGTTCTGCTGTATATATCCGAGGAACAGTAGAGGCTGAAAGAGGACAGACGTTTGTTTCTCCTGTTAAGAAATGTCTGGGGGTGGCAGTTAAGTGCAGGTAATGTTGGCTTCCCAGTGGCCTTAGTGACTTAGCTTCTTCACCTTCAGCATGTGGTTTCTGGTCTCTGTGTCACCTGTAGTCCACAGTGGTTGCTAGAGCCTCGACTGTCACCATCACATCTGCATTCCAAACAGCGGGAGGGGAAAAAGAGGAAAGAGGATTTCTCTCTCCCATTGTCTTTCTTTTTTTGAGTTGGAGTCTCCTTCCGTCGCCCAGGCTGGAGTACAGTGGCACCACCACGCCCGGCTAATTTTTTGACTTATTGTAGAGACGAGGTCTCACCAAGTTGC